GCAGCCCCTGGCTCCCTGCAACTCGGGAGCACTCACTCTCAGCCAGAGCCCTTCCAAGGGGAGGCCTTGCCTGCCCGGCCTGACCAGTGTGGGAGCTGCACGCATGGCCCCACCTCTCCCCAGGAGGGCACTGGAAAGGAACAGCACAGTGGGTGGCGGTCCCATCCAAGGTGGGTGGCATCCCGTCTGGCGCTTGAGGGGGCCCCGGGCCAGCGGCTGGCCAGGAGACGCCGTTGGCCAAGGGTGCCGCGCATACCTCCGACAGTTCCGCCTGTGACTCCGGAAGAGAAGGTGGCCATGGTGTGCGAGTTGGTGAGCCTGGTGGCCGCAGACGACACGTGCACCAGGCCCGCGGCGGCCGGCACGGCACTGAACAGGGACTGCAGCACAGACGAGCTGGCCACCGAGCCTAGGTTGGCCTGCAGTGACATGGGGCCCAGGGTAAACTGCGTGCCAGGAGTGAAGGTGCCCAGGAAGGGGCGGTGTGTCTGGGCAGAGGGCGCGTGGCTGCCTGTGGAGGGTGCTGCCGGGGCCAGGCCCGGGCCGTTGAGTAGGCCGCCGGGGGACACAGCGGTGGCCGAGATGAAGAGGTTGTGGCCATGGGTGAAGTCGAGTTCGCGGTCCCGGCCTCGGCTTGCCTTCGCCCCGGGCGGCAGTGCAGCTTTGTCTGAGGCCCCAGCCAGCTCGCCGGTCTCACGGGCCTTGCTGGCCTCACCCTTCAGGCTGCCCAGCCCATCGGGTGGCCGCTTGCTCAGGAAAGGGTTGGCGTCGGGGCCACCAGTCTCCTTGCCCCGCTGGGAGGGGAAGCCCAGCCCGGCCATCTCGGGGGCTTTGTGGGCGAGAGAAGCACCGTCGCTGAAGCTGTGTAAACTGAGGTCGGCAGCCAGGGCCCCGCCCAGGGTGAACCCGTTGGGGGTGTTGGTGCTAGGGCTGGGCCCGTCCACCCCAGCCAGGGAAGCCGGGAAGCCCTTCCGGGGGTGCGTGGTCCCCTTGGCATCGGGGGCAGTGGCTTCCTCCAGA